TCCGGGGGGGGGGGGAATGTCCCGGGGGTCCCTGGGCGGGACCTCGGCCCCCTCCCCAGCCTGGCGGCTGTATTCGCTCCCCCGGGGCCGCAGGGGTGCCCGGTCGGCGGGGAGCTGCCGGTTCCCAGGGGGGAAGCCCCTCCGGTAAAGCCCAGCTCGCTGACCCTCACTATTTCCTTTCCCGGAACAGGACCCCCACCCCAGGAGCGGAGCCGGAGATGATTTCCCACATGGATCAGATGGAGGAAGGGTGGTTCTCCCGCCTCCACGCCTACCGAGGGGAGAGCCTTGCCCGGGGCACCTGTCCAGGTAACGCCCGTGCCGTCACCGGGGAACCGGCGGGACCCCAGGCCCCACCAGAACCCACTAGAGTCGTGGTGATGGATGGGACCGGGGTCCTCCCGGCTTGGCGGGCTGTCTCTGCCGGGCTGGAGGCCTGGAGAAGAGCAGAAAAGCAGTGGTGTGTCCCTGTGCGCCTTCCCAGGCCCCAGAAACACCTGAGCCAGAGGGTGATGTTCTGGTCTCCTGCAGCTTTCTCTGCCTTTTCTTGCCCTCTGCAGTTGTGTCCATGTTGGTATCCTTGACAGCTTGCAGCAAGGAGTTCCACAGCTTATTTAGCTTTTTTTTTGTTTGTTTGCTTCAAAGCTGCCTTCTAATAGTTCTCTTGATGTTCTTAATTTAGAAACTACTAATGCAAGATGGACCCATACCTGCCCCACGGCCCACTTGTGTTTTTATAGTCCTCTGATGTCCTCTATCAGCTGTACCTTTTCCCAGCAGAACGGGCAGTCGAGTCGTCTCTGATGCAGAAGCTGTCCTGTACCTTTGGTCAGTCACATCACACCTCGGTATCTTTCTGAGCTCTATGAGTTTCCCTGAAATGGAAGATCTGTTCACATGGATGTGGGGCTTGAGCAGCAAGGCAGAATTACATTCTTCTGTTTTCTTATTTTTTCCCACCAATCACTGACATTTGATTAGCTGTTTTAGCCACCCAGGAGCTCTAGTTTCCACCTCTTTGCTCTTAACTTCAAGGTGCTATTTCTGGATTATACCAGGAAGATCCTAGGCCCATCCTGGTGTAAGTGCAAGGTACAGAGGCTTTTGTCCACTGCAGTTCTTTATGTTTACCTGCAGTGAATGTCCCCTGTCATCCCCCTGTATCAGTATCGTAAGGCTCAGCCACAGCTGATCCTTACAGTCAGGCTTTGTCTCTTTAACCCTGAATAGCACAGAATCATCATCAGATATTTTCACCTCCCCTTTTCCTCCCTTAACACCTTATCGAGGGTTCGCTCATCTCACAGAAGCTTAGTCTCTTCGTCAGTTTGGGTGAAAGACAAACTTCTTTTGGACTCCGGATCTTCCTTTTGCTGAAATTGCTGACATCTCTGAAGAACTCCAAGTGGTTTGTGAAGTGAGATGTCTCTTTCCAAAGGCCATGCCGGCTCTTCCCCACTCTGCCCTCTTTGGCCATCTATTCATTAATTCTCTTGCTCTGGTTGTCCTCCTCCTGTGGTGAGAAGGGCCAGAGCATCAGCCAGAGCTTCTCTTGAGAAAGAGAGAGAGATATCCAAGGGTACGTTTAAGGTGATATTTAGGTTCTCTCCCTATATATAGGCTTACTCTGCTTACCTGGAGCTCTCCTTGTAGCTATAGCACTGGAAGTTTTGGGATAACAGAGGTCTTACCATCAACCCAAACTGGCATGGGCTGAGGAAGAACTACATTCTTCCTATCTCTCTTGCCCATTTATTTTTGTCAGTTCAGCTTTTGCTTCCAGTATTAATTTCTCAGCATTGTGAACTTAACTCGTCTTCCACTTAAAATACCTCCAGTGCGTCCCAGTTGTCATGATTTTGATCAAACCCTTTACAGGCAACTTGTCCCAGAGGCCAGTGAAGATACCCGGTAGCTCAGAAGTAACAAAACTGGTGGTGGAAGTTGAGAGCTGGAGCCATGGCTGTCATCATTGTAATAAGAAGTTTGAAACTCCTGACCTTTCCCAAAAAGTACAGAAGACCATTAAAAACTCGATTCTTGTGTACTATGAAGGCATTTTCTGTGTAAAGAACCAAAATTTGGTGGAAGAACCTAAGCTAGCATAGGTGAAGGATATCTCTTTGGGCCCAACAGCAAGAGAACAGCTTTACTAGGTCCCTCGTGTGCTCAGTAAGTCTCACAGGTAGAGAGCTTTATGCTGGCCTGCTAGAAATGTCCTTGTCCTTGTCCTGTCCTGTCCTTGGATATCACCCCTCTCTTTTTCTCCAGGCCTGGATTGAGCAGCTGCAGACAAATGGAAATGCCTTCATGGTGAATAGCAAAGTTCCAATTTCTGTTCCTCTCGAGGGATGATTTTAGTGAAAGCTACATGAGGGAAGCAGTGACATTGCTCCCACACCAAACTGCCCTAAAAGGTATCTCAAGAGTTCGCTGTGAAATCATGATGTTTTCTTACATTGACTGGAAAGAGGAAGATTAAATATGTAGGTAGATCAGTCTGGGTTGAAGTTCTATACTCTCCTTCCTTTATTGCGTGCTTATGGTTCAGTGGTGACTCTCCTTTTCCAAGGCATGTGCTTCCTTATCACGGCTCTGCCAGACCACAGGAAGTGCCTGTGGTTTGTACATCAACCCCACGCCACCCATATGTTTATATTTCACAAGAGTTTTCAGAGAACCAGGGGGTACTGTTGAACCTTTAAGTAGGCAGATCCTGGAGATCTGCGTGTTTGTGGCTTTAGTCTTCAGCCTGTTCCATATTTTGGGTCTATTTATAGTCAAACAGGCACTCGTCCTTCAAGTCCTTCACCCCTGGAAGTTCCTATAAAGCGATCATCTGGAAATCTGTTTCCCTGATTGGCCTGTCTTAAACCTGGATGTGATGCCTCTCTTCAGAGATACATGTTGCCATTTCTACATCCCTCTGACATCCATTGACCCTCCCTTCACAGCAGAAGGGTACGTGCCACACAGGTCCTGTCTCACCAGTTTAGTGTACAAGCCCTCAGGAAGTCTGCAAAGAGCTACATTTCCCCACTGACATCAAAGGCCGCAGCATCATTGGGGGTACCTTCACCAACTGCCTTTCACAAGGGGTTTGTTCTGCACCAGTGGAAGCGTAAATTTACCTTTCTTCTGCTCTGAGTCTTCCATAAGTCAAGCTCTGGCCAGTCTCTGTGTCTCATGCCTTGGGGCCATCATCTCCCGTGTGCATCTTCTGTCTGCAACACCAGCAGCACAAGAGCAGGGAGTTTGCATCTTACCTAAGTAACGATCTGCTGAACAAGGCAGTTCTTTATGGCCCTTCTCTGCCTCTCAGTTCAACTTTTAATGACATTTCCAGGTACAATATCCCAGGAGAGCAGCCATCTTTCCCATTCGAGCACTAACTTACCACCAATATGCCAATAATTTCAGTAGATGGAGGTTCTGGCAAAGAGTGCAGGGCTATTTCCAGGGCGAACACTGAAAAATCCACTCTGTAGTTTGGAGGGAAATATCAAACCTTTTCTACTTAAAGTGAAATCTGCTGAATTTTTAGAATTTGGCCGCTTCTGCTTTCCCGTGTGCCAAGTTTCCTGTCCTGCCTGTGACTCCTCTCTGGATTCTCATTTTATTGCAGCTGAAGATGGGCTTGTGGGTGAGAAAGAGGAAGATGCCCACCAAGGCATGCCCAGGCCAGTGGATCCTGCGGGTTTGCTCTCAGGACTCTCCAAGGAGAACACTTCCCAGAGTCTTGCACAGGACCCTGTCCTCCCACGCAGGTCAGAAAGGGTTCAGAGACCTCTGGGGAAGAGGCAAAGCCGAGTGACGCTGCGTGGAAAAAGTTTCCGGAGGCTGCCCGATATTATCCAGCAAAGAAATCCTTCGGCGGGGAGACTGACGATATGCGGGGACTGCGGGAAGAGCTTCAGGGTGAGCTCCAACCTCGTCCAGCATCGGAGAATCCACACCGGAGAGAAACCCTTCTCCTGCGCTGAATGCGGGGAGAGTTTCCGGCAGCGGTCGCATCTCATCCAGCACCAGAGAATCCACACAGGGGAGAAGCCTTACGTGTGTTCCGAGTGCGGAAAGAGCTTCAGCATGAGCTCAAAGCTGATTCGGCACCAGGTAACCCACACTGGGGAGAAGCCCTATAAGTGCCCCGAGTGTGGGAAGAGCTTCTCTGGGAACTCACAGCTCGTCCAGCACCGGCGAGTGCACACCGGGGAGAAACCCTACGAGTGCAGCGACTGCGGGAAGAGCTTCAGCGTGAGCTCAGCCTTGACACGACACCAGCGGGTCCACACCGGGGAGAAACCCTACGAGTGCAGCGACTGCGGGAAGAGCTTCAGCCAGAGCTCCGAGCTGATGAAGCACCAACGAGTCCACACCGGGGAGAAGCCCTACGAGTGCTCGCAGTGCGGGAAGAGCTTCACCGTGAGTTCAGCCCTCATCCAACACCGGCGGTTCCACATGGGCGAGCGTCCCTACGGGTGCACCGAGTGTGGAAAGAGCTTCACCGTGAGCTCCCACCTCATCCAGCACCGCCGCTTCCACACCGGGGAGCGCCCCTACGAGTGCAGCGAGTGCGGGAAGAGCTTCCTGTGGAGGTCGGCCCTGCTGCGGCACCACCGGGTCCACACCGGGGAGAGGCCCTACGCCTGCGCCGACTGCGGGGACAGCTTTCGGCAGAGCGCCCACCTCATCCAGCACCGGCGCATCCACACCGGGGAGCGTCCCTACGCCTGCGCCGACTGCGGGAAGGGCTTCACTGTGAGCTCTGCGCTCCTCCGGCACCAGCAGATCCACAGGGGTGGGGAACCCTAGGAGGGGCGAGTGTGGGGAGCAGTTAGGTCGGATACCTTGGGAGCAATCCCTGGGGGAAGCAAAGAGGTCTCTCTCTCCCTTCGCCCTATCAGCCGCCCTGCTTGTGGTGGGCGAAAGCAAGTTTCTTTTTAGGAGAATGAGTCCTAAAAGAGAGAGAGGCGGGAGAAGGGGGCAGTCGGTGCCAGGAGTGGAATTGGGAGGTTTTGGGGAAGAGCTTGTGCCACAGCCGGGGCAGGAGGTGGCGTTGGGAGGGATGGCTCTGGGGAGAGGGAGAGAAAGGTTTAAGGAAGCTTGAAAAGGCTGGGACGTACTTGGTGGTGGATTTAAAAGGCAAAGTATTTCCCTTCCTTTTTTTTTTTTTTTTTTTTTTTCGTTTTGGGCAATTTATGGAGGGAACGAAACGGACCGCCGTAGAGCCTGCCGCCCTCCGCCCAGATCAAGGAGAGCTCTGGCCTTCCCCCCCCTGCCCCGCCGCAGCCTCCAGAGCCTCGGGATTCCCTTCCTCAGCCCCTGCGCTGGGCCTGGGGCGCGGAGAAGCCAAAAGCCCGGGCTGCCTGGTGGGGGTGGTTGCGGGGAGGGGGGTGTGTGTGTTCCGGCGGGACCCCATCGCTGCGATCGGTCACTGAAACGGCCAAATAAAGCCGCGGTTACAAATCGGCGCCTCCGCCATTTTCCCTTCACCGCGCGACCTTTCCCGCCCTCCCTTGCGGCTCTGCGCGCGCCGGACGCCCTCC